GCGACTTTCTCAGGGGCTCACCGAGGGAATGGGGCTGAGCGGGATGAGGACTCCTCCCTTTCCCTCTCTGCCGCATTGGATTTGGTTACACCGCTGCTCTGAATCTGATGAGCATCAGAGCTCCTTGCGTTTAAGTTACTTTTAAAAGGCAACACTATCCTAGTTCTTGTCAAGCCTAGCCTTTATGACCATTTGTATTTTAATGATCAAGTTTTTCTCTAATTAGCTTCTCCTAATAAGAAAACTTCATCATAAATGTGTTTGGAAACCATGCAAAATATTTTTATGTATCTCAGGAGGTGTTTTTTAGACCTTAAACCAGGGAGAGGTACAATTGCATTTTCTACTTGTCCTTATAACAAACTGAAAGAGATTTGTTCCTGTTAAATTATAGTTAAACTCTCTAATATTTCATTATTACAACTAAAATCAGCTAAGGTAACTCTGCTGCAAATTCCACATTTTCATTTTTCTCAAAACAATGACCATAGCAGGAGAAAATCTTCAAAGGTATATTTTAGAGGAATAATTATATTTTTTAAAAAGCACTGGAATCAGGTCAGAGAAATAAAGCGTAAGCTGGCTGTTCTACCTGTCTCTGGTGATGTCATCTAAGTCTTAATTACATCATCAGTAAAATGGGGCTAATGATAGATGCTCTCTACTTCACAAAGCTCTTGCACGGAAGAAATAGATAATAGGTGGGAATTACTTTGAACTTTTCTTCAGAAAATCTCTGTATTACTAGTTTTTTAAAATATCATTTTATAATGCTAACAATTTGTTATATGTCTTATTTAAAATGTGTTGTATTTTGAGACAATCACTACAAAAAGCAGATTTAAATATGATAATATCACAATTTAAAAATGAATACCTTTTTGTCGGTGGGTAGTTGAAATATTGGGGGGCTCACTTTGTAAAGTCTAACCACTATGTGGGTGTACACCTGAAACTAAAAGAAAATAATATTGACTGTGAATTATAATTGAAAAATAAAATAAATACCTTTTAATGTTGCAGGAAGATGGCTTTAGAATTAGCCTGCCATCCCTTCTTTATATGGAATACTAGGGGCCCAGTCCACAAATTTGTGCACCTTGAAAGGAACTGTGGGCTGCAAGGCTGCAGCGGGTACAGGGGCGGGTCTCGGCCCATCCTCTGTGCCCCCACCTGGCCCCTCCCACCGTGGCCCCCGGTCCCCTCTCTGCTGGCAGCCCTGCTCCCACTGCTGCTGCTCCCACACACTGACGGCGCCTCCCCGCTCGCACCCGCTGATGGTGCGGAGCAATTGGGGCCAGTGCCAGCAGTGGGTGTGAGCAGCGGCTGCTGCCCCGATCGCCCCTCAGGAGCAGGGGGAGGTGGAGAAGCCCTGAGGGGCGATCGGGGCTGGCAGCTGCTGCTTGCACCTGCTGACGGTGCTGAGCGATCAGGGCCAGCGCCGGGAGCCAGCAGCGGGTGTGAGCGCCAGGCAGGACCTCGGCTCCCGGGAGCAAAGAATTTTTGTTAAACACCAGAGGCTCTCCCTGATGACAGCGACCGGCACCCCACCTTGGTCTGGTGCCCCTGCTTACCTGCTCCACCATTCCACTGGGGCTGACACCCGCCATGTTCGGCGCTCTGCCACCTGCTGCCAATGCTCACCATGTTCTGCACGCGCCCCTTGGTGGTCAACGCACGTCATAGTGACTGGTTGTTTGGTTGTTCAGTTGTTCTGCCGTTCGGTTTATTTGCATATTAGGGTTTTATATATACAGATAAGGCTGACTGAATATAATTTGGTCTCTGTCATGGGATTTGTTTTTATACCACTAGATGGTGCAATTTGAGGTCTAAAGCCTGTCCAAAAAAGTTATCAGAAGCTTAGTGATAGAGTTACTTTCCCCTTGGAAAAGGCAAAGTGAGGAAAACGAGAGGGGGGTGTTAGTAATATATGAAGTCACATGATTGTCCTCTCCCAGAGGCAGAGGAGTGTAGAGTAGAGCATGTTCCTACGTATAGTCTTTCAGTAACTAGCTCTTAGATGACTCACTTCACTCATCTGGACATGGCTTTCTTCTTCTTTCTCTGCTTCCCTCTCTTTCCTTCTCTGGAACCAGGACAGAGATCATGAGTTCTGTGGCAGCCATGATGTGCAGATGAAGTACTCAACAAGGACAATGCCAGTGCTCTGTCTAAATGTGTGGCCTGGGAGGGCGGCCAAACGAGTCACAACCATCGGGGTCTGCTCCTGTTCCTGCTATGCTCCCCAGGCAGCACTAGGCCCCCTCTGATCTTGCCCACTTGTCTATAAAGCCGACTCTCACATCTGACATCCACCTCCTCTGAGCAGAGACTACAAGGATGGATGAGACAATGCAGCCAAAGGCCAGACCTTTTAATGAAAGCTAATTATAAGCAAAGCATCCGTGGTGAATACATAACTAAAACCTGACCCTTCATCTGCGTTCACATGCTCCCGAATTGGCTGACATCATTCCCACATGTGAAAGAACATTTTGCTGGAGAAGTGAAAATTATTAAGGGGGAGGAAACCAGGCCTTTGAAGGAAAGTGCAAAGACCGGGAGACAACCCCTCTGCACAAAAGAAGGGTGAGGGTGGCAACGTATTCTCTTCATTGGTAAGAAGGAAACTTGCAATAAGAGTGGAAGTTTTGAATCCATTTTGAGTTGATTTTTGTGTATACTCTAGGACAGTGATGGTGAACCTATGACACACGTGTCAGAGGTGACACGCTAACTCATTTTTTTTGGTTGATTTTCCTTTGTTAAATGGCATTTAAATATATAAAATAAATACCAAAAATATAAGTCTTTGTTTTACTATGGTTGCAAATATCAAAAAATTTCTGTATGTGACACGGCACCAGAGTTAAGTTAGGGTTTTTCAAAATGCTGACACACTGAGCTCAAAAGGTTCACCATCACTGCTCTCGGGTAAGGGTCCAATTCCATTCTTTTGTGTGTGCACGTCCAGTTTTCCCAGAACCATTTGTGAAAGAGATTATCCGTTCCCTTTTGCTATATTCAACGGTAAAAAATTGCAAGCTTCATCATGCGCAACACAGTTCTGGAAGTCCTAGCCAGATCAACAAGGTAAGAAAAAAGAAATAAAAGGCATCCACATTGGAAAGAAAGATGTAAAATTATCTTTCTGCCGATGATATGATCTTATGTGTAGAAAATCCTAATGACTACACACACACACACACACACACACACACACATACACACATACAAAGAAACTGTTAAAACTTAGAAATTATTTCAGAAAAGTTGCAGGATACAAAAATCAACAAACAAAAATGAGTTGTGTTTCTACATACTACCAATTAACTATTCAAAAAAGAAATTAAGGAAACAATCTCATTACAATAGCACCAAAAAAAAAAAAAAGGGTAAAATACCTAGGAATAAACTTAACTAATGAGGTGAAAGACTTATTTACTGGAAACTATAAAACACTGATGAAAGAAATTAGATACAAACAAATGGAATGACATCCTGTGTTCATGGATTGGGTAACTTAATATTATTAAAATATCCATACTACCCCAAGTGATCTATAAATTCAATACAGTCCTCATCAATATTCCAATGGCACTTTTTACAGAAATAGGACACAACCATCTACATTTATATATTGTGAATATTTGCTTTCCATCAAAACAGCTCATATTCTTGTAGTATTGCCCATAGAACTGGTTTAGTGAAAATCTATTTCATTTTACAAACTACTGCTTCAGGATCTTAATTTTAGGCTGCAAATATGGAAAGAGAGAAAAAAATATAACCTGTTTAGTAGTGTGGTAAACTCACTACACTAAGACTAGAAAGCCTAGATTTTATTTTATTTTATTTTTTTATTGTTTTATTGCTTAAAGTATTACAAAGGGTATTACATATGTGTCCTTTTTTTTCCCGCCCTTGACAATCCTCTGGCCTCCCCTACCCCACAGTGTCTTATGTCCACTGTTATGAGAAAGCCTAGATTTTAATTTCAAATATATGATTCACTAGGGATGAAATAATAAAAGTAAGACTAACAACAAATGGGAAAACCTTTCATTTGGATTGTTTTTTAATGTACAATATTTTTCACATATACTAGTATTTAATGTTTATCAAATTCTTTCTGTGGCTCGTTTGCTTATCTGGAAAGTGGGGATAAGAACTCCTAGTCTGCCTGCTTCACAGGAATACTGTAAAAATGAAAGACAAAAAATATGTAAAGCTGCAGTTAAAATCACAAACCGCTATGTAGAACTATTATTGACACTAATGTGAAGAGTCAATATGACAATGGATGACCCCATCAAGGGTGACGAGAGAAAAGAAGAATGAGACTAACTAAATTGGTCAGTTGCGAAAACGTGGAGGCAGCATTCCTGGACCACATAAATATCTCTTATCCACGCAGATGTCTCACAAATGAACAAGGCAAGGAATTCTGGCTAAGGATGCATTTCCCAATCTCATCTTCTATCGAAAATTTGATCTAGTCCCAGATGATTCCAAGCTGCCTCTCGGGGCTGTGAAAGTTCTTAGAGCACATACATTTATAGGAAGCTTCCTTTTTCTCTTGGGAAAACACTTGTTCTGGAATGAAATGGCTGCAATGTTCTCTGACACAGGCAAAGACTACCTCCTTCCACCTGCTGAAAATGATTATATGAAGAAATTGGTTCTGGGCCTGTGTGTTATAAGGCTGCCTTATTACACTTCCCTTCTGCTTACCTTCTAAAACATTTCCCCCAGTGTGGGACACATACCACATGGTCAGAAAAATCGATAGATGCTTAAATGCCTGGAAGCATTTATCTGTGTTCTCAATAGCTTTATCTCTGTGCTGAAATAAAATGCTTTTTGATCGGAATCCTCTCTCTTCTCACCTAATAATGGATACAGATGGAACCTCTTCAATCAGAGCAGAAAACCACCAAACTCAGGATGAATCAAAGGGTTTCAAAACATATTGACAGAGCTAAAAATGCTCTTACCTGGGCAATTATGTCTGTAATTTCTGAATAACTGTGGCATCGTCCCACACAAGATCGAGCCAAAAAGTCTTCCACCAGCCGCGTTCCAATGCCATATCCCCTGTGGATGAAGGAAAGACTGGTCTGGAAATAATATTTGAGTACTTAGTGCTGTTTGTCAGTGTTTAAGAATGGATTCATCTAGTTAGCACTTGCCAACTGGATTACAAACTAAACCTAACGTGACAAGTCAAATGGCTATTTAACAGTGGGCTTCTTATTTGCCCTACAGACCACAGAAACAGAGGGCAGCAAGGCCCTGGCCGGGTAGCTCAGTGGGTTACAGAGTTGTCCTGATACACCTAGGTTGCAAGTTCCATCTCCAGTCAGGGCACATACAAGAATCAACCAATGAATGCATAAATAAGTGGAACAACAAATCTCTCTCCTCCTCTTCCCCCTCCCCCTCCTCCTCCTCCTCCTCCTCCTCCTCCTCCTCCTCCTCCTCCTCCTCCTCCTCCTCCTCCTCCTCCTCCTCCTCCTCCTCCTCTCTCTGCAGCACATCCAGGGAATATTAACTAATCTACAAGCAAAGGAATTTGAGGAGTCAGGGATGGCCCAAACTTGGCTTTGCACACTAAAGGTAAATAAGGCTGGTTGGTGTTTGTGGCCTAATGTTTCTCATTAGCAACTAACTTTCTCATCATTAGCTGTTGAGAATGAGGGTCAGTTAACTTGTGGTCTGCTCCAGGTGTGGTACCTAGATGCTCATTCTTCTCTTAGCAGAGTTATTGTGTTAGGAGGGCAGGCATGCCTGGGGTGGGCTCTAGAAGGAGGGGATGAGGGGAAGAGAAAAATCAATTTTTGTTGCTAGTGTAGATGTCCACAGTTAGAACTCTGAGTTTTTGTGAAAAGAAAACAGCGCCAAGTTCAGAAAATTCAGTTTTTCATTTCAGGGAAACTGAATCTGTGGGACTTGGGAGAAAATATTTGTAATAGCTCTACCTCACAACGAATAGCTTGAGTAGTACTTGCAGTACAATTGTGAAAGCATTTTATTGCGATGTGACCTGAGTATGTGGCTAAGATGGCTAGCAGGCACCTTCAGCAAGATCAGCCTAAGAACTTTCAATCTAGTGGAGGAAATATGACCTTCACGGTGGAAATAAAGAAGAACAAGACTTCCTTTGCCAAACCACTGACACAAAACCGGGCTTTTCATTTCACAGCCACATGCGCATAAACCAGCGAAACGACTTGAACGGAGCAACAGAACACCCATCAGGATAAAGACACCGAAGTTTGTAGAGGCAATATTTGCTCCTAGGGTCTAAGAAGGGGGGAGGCAGATTTGATGTCAGAGTGCTCATTAATTCACTAAATCTAGCGATATTCTATTAATTTTTCTGAGTGGATGGCGATATTCAATTTAGCTCACTTGCCTTTCAAGACAAATGTTTTGTGATTCTAGTCAGGAAGTTCTCACAGAATAGGCTTTTTAAAAACAGAATGTATACTTCACAGAAATAGTTGTACCAGGATTTTAAAAATGTTCTCAGTGTTTCTAATTTTTATGCATACACACAGGCTTGGCCACTGGGAATAGTGACGGGAAGCCAGAACGTTATGGTCAGCGCCGTATATACACATATATCTTGCTTTGGTCAAAGGGTTTGCTTCTGCAAAGTAGATATTTTGTTTACTTATATATCAAATTAAAAATGTAAGATGCAGAAGCTATTAAAGATATCCAGATGTGAATTATTGTGTTTCTTAAGGCAAGTCCTTTTGGCAGCCTCTCAAAATTTATTCTTTAACTAATATTTCATTCATATTTGTTAAAATGTGCACTCAAGTAGTAGCTAACCAGAGATAATTTTTTCTAGTCAAATAAGCGAATTTCTGTATTTTCTACCTATGTTCCCCACAACAATGCAAATCTAACATAAGCTAAATAAAATGCTGTAACTTCTGGACACGCTATGTGGCGGGTTGCAGCGTGACCCGAGTGTAAAATAGCTTACGCAGCTCCCACTCTTACTGACAGTTTAGCCAAGGAAGTGCTTCTGACTAATTAAGAAGAAATGAAAAAAAAAAGTACACGGATCAAAATAAATACAGGACAATGAAAAAGAACTTTCTAATAGAAAAAAAATAATAAACACATAAAAAAGAAAGAAAAACCAAGGTTTTGAGAGAAAAAAATAGTTAATATTTATTTTATGGTTTGTTTGTTTTTTCCTGTATTCTAACTGAAAATACAGTGAACCCTTTTTAAAAGCTCTAAAATGCTCAACTCAGCTAGGCTAAATTTCCCATTCAACCTGTCTGATTAAATCTTCTACAGATTTTTCAGTCATTGTCCTGTTAGAACCCTTTTCAGAATCCATAATTAAGAAGTTTAAAAATGTTGACAGATATTTTATTATTTTTTATTTTTATTTATCAACTCTAGAAAGAGAAAAGAGAGGAGAGAGAGAGAAACATTGATTTGCTATTTCACTTATTTATGCATTCATTTGTTGTTTCTTGCATGTGCCCTGAAACCTTGGCCTACAGGGACAACACTCCAACTGAGTTACCCGGCCATGGCCGACAGATATTTTATTATTGAGCAATAACATAATGTTCATATAATTATCCTGAGAAATTTAAAGGCTGAATTTGTGCAAAAGGAATCTCCATTAATAAAGACAAGAATAATGAGCATTTAAAATGGAAGAAGTGGGTTCCACTAACTATATATATATATATATATATATATATATAGAGAGAGAGAGAGAGAGAGAGAGAGAGAGAGAGAGAGAGAGAGAAAAGGCCTGGTGCACAACATTCGTGCACTGGGGGTGGGGGGCGGGGGAGGGTTTCTCAACCCGGCCTGGACCCTCTCACAGTCCAGGAACCCTCGGGGGATGTCTGCCTGCTGGCTTAGGTGGACATCCCCTGAGGGGTCCTTAGCACTGCTGTGAAGGTGGGAGAGGCTCCTGCCACCACCACTGTGCTTGACAGCCATGAGCCCGGCTTCTGGCTGAGCAGCGCTCCCCCTGTGGGAGCACACTGACCACCAGGGGGTAGCTCCTGTGTTGAGCATCTGCCTCCGGTGGTCAGTGTGCATCATAGCGATCAGTTTTTCCACTGTTTGGTTGATCTGCATATTAGGATTTTATTATATAGAATATATATATATATATATATATATATATATATATGTATTTTTTTAATCCTTACCTGAGGATATTTTCCCCATTGATTTTTCAGTGGAAGGGAAAGGAGAGGGGAGAGAGAGGAGAGAGAAAGAGAGAAAGAGAGAGAGAGAGAGAGAGAGAGAGAGAAACATGCGACCCAACTGAAGATCAAACTTGTACCCTTTTGGCGTACCCCACAATGCTCCAACCAATGGAGACAGCTGCAAGGGTCCATTAGTAGCTTTTTGCGTATCCTTCCACAGACAGTCTATGCTTATGTAAGCATATATATATATATATATATATATATATATATATATATATATATAGTTAGTGGAAGGAGTTATGTTAGAACAAAAGCTTTCTGAAAAAAATCAAATTTGATGATCCATCATGTTAAAAGAAAAAAGTGTTTTACTACCTCCTTTGCTTATAAATGACTAGCAAAGAAATGATTTCCAACTAAAAAGAAAACATTCCATGCCTGATATACATGGGAAAAAGTCCCTTCCCATTCTTGTACTTTATGACAACCCAAATGTCAGCTGGCAGAAATGATGTCTAGCCTTAAGATGTTATTTATTCAGATAGAAGATGAGCCAGTGGGATGGAGCAAGAGAAGTCAGGGTGGGGAAAATGCAGAGGATGCTAAGAAACAATGCACATTCCACAAGAATGAAAGACTTCTACTTACATTTTATCCAAATATGTATTCACATCTTCATCTTTTTCATAATCCTTGCACAGTTGGGCAACCAGAGCTCCATAGGTTAGGACAAAGAGATCTTTGTTCTGGAGAAAAATGGGTAGTTTCACGTTATAGGCCGTTACAAATAATACACTGCTCTGGCTCTTAGTTGGATGCAGACTTCCAGATGGTCTGTTCACTTTTCCACTCTCCATTCTACCCATGTTTGCATACATTGCTGGGGGCGGCGGGGGCATGGGGGGCTATGAAATAAAATTAATTTCTTAACATAAGAAATCTTTCTCTGCATTTGTTTGTATGGTATAACTTGCAATATTATTTTCATGGAGAAAGTTTCTGAAGAAATAGTAATTGCTAGTATAAATTCCTGTTGTTCTAGAATGGCCTTTGGTAGATGCTGTCCATGTTTTCGGTTGGAGGCATAACTGGGTGAGACTTCTCATGAGTCTGCATACTTCCTAATGGGTTCCGGACCTGCCAGGAAGACCATCGGGATGAATCCAACTGCAGCAGGAAATTTATGGTTTTGTTCTTTATACTTAGAAAAAACAAAAGAGAGAGAGAACTTGTACTTCCTTATAGATCTCCAAAATATGCCTTATATTCAGAGTGAATTAAAAATTAAAACTGGCCGAAACCGGTTTGGCTCGGTGGATAGAGCATCGGCCTGCGGACTGAAAGGTCCCAGGTTCGATTCCGGTCAAGGGCATGTACCTGGGTTGCGGGCACATCCCCGGTGGGGGATGTGCAGGAGGCGGCTGATCGATGTTTCTCTCTCATCGATGTTTCTGACTCTATCTCTCTCCCTTCCTCTCTGTAAAAAATCAATAAAAATATATTTTAAAAAAATAATAATAAAATAAAAATTAAAACTGAAACTGCAGATAATTTAGGTTTGGTTTCGCATAGATAGGTTGAAAATACAGAAACAACACAAAGCACCATCAATCCATTTTAGAAAGTCTCTGTTTTGCATCTACCATGAATACTATCAAGAATGGAAAGGGGATATTAGAGATAATTTATTCCAATGCTCTCAGTCCTACAGAGGAGGGGATGGGGCCTCAGGAGGAATGAGTGACTTGCCCAACTAGCCAGCAGCTGGCAGAGCCGGGATGAAGCTGGAGACTGCAGGTGCCCCCTCCACACACAGCAGTTATCGCTGAGGTGCACAAAAGAAGGCATGTTCTGAGTAAAGTGGGTGGAAGATGGCGGTACTAAGGATCACCTCTGTTGAAACCAATCTTATCTTGTGCATAATTACGTATTTTCATGAAAGGTCAAATGTGGATTCCAGGTTAGAAGAGAGGTCGTTACCTCTAGGCCCAGGTGTCTTGGACAGATAGCCTAACCTGCAGGGGAAAATAAGGCCTGAAAATATGTATTTAATTTCTTCTTTTAATCATGGGCAGAAATGTCTCAACAAACCAATACAATTGTTTATTCAACAAAGGGGCTGCTATAAAATATTACATAATTTTGATCCAAATACTTCCAAAATTGGCCCAATACCACCAGTGTCTACTCCCTTACTTATCAGTTTATATCATGACAATGTTTTTAGTCGAGTAGAATATTTATTATCACTAAATAATTTTAAATGAATAGAATCTAAATATGATATAGCACATATGGACATAATTAATGTTGAAAAATATAAATAAAAATGTCATAAATATATGTAGAAATATATTATATACATTAAGGACACTAATATATATAATCCAGGTACAAGCAAATAATAAATACATTAATATTTCTACCAGGAAAGAAAGGATGTAAAGCAAGAGATTTGAACAAAAATACTGTTAAAATAATCATGAAAGGGCCATCATGTACTCAATTTTAATTTTGTTCTCATTTAAAAATTTCAAGAACCTAATAATAAGTCACAAGAAATGCCTATATTAGTACATTTCTGCTTAGTATATCAGGAACCACAGCAAAAAATAAATTACTGCTATGTGCCAATATTACATCATAAAAATAAGCAAAGGGGAAGGGAAAGGAGGGGTGAAAACATAGTTATTATCACTAGCAAAAAAAAAAAAAAAAGAATTTGAAAAGGAGATACCTATATACCATATCCTCAGCACTGTGTCCATTTATAAAGGCGAAGCTAAAATAATGGCATTTTCGTTTTCTTTTCAATCTCTCTTTCTCTCTGTCGATCTCTCTCTCATTATGAAGGGTGGGTACAAACTATATTTTACTTCCAGTGAGTTTTAAGTTCAATACCCATAAAGGCCAGTTTTCTCCATTCTGCTTCATGGCCAAAGGCTGTACCTTGAACAACATATCCAATTGAGTCTCAAATCCATACAACTTATCACAAGGAAGGTCAATTTTTTTAAAAAAATAATTTTTATATATGAAAAATATAATACCATTAGCTATTTCAGGAGGTTGGGGATATATTAGGATAAATATGAGATTTTATCAAATGATGTAGGTACAATATAAATGATGTACAATATTTTTTAGCATTTGAGAGCCTCAATAAAAATAAATCAAGACCCTAGAATGCCAGAGGGGGCATCTGTAGACATTTCAAACTGGGCTGTGCTTGGGTTAGTCATACAATTTTAAGTACCCATGGATGAAATTACTTAATTTTAAGCAATTGCCCATCAGTTGCTTGAAATAAATAACAGAGCTTTAAACTTAATGAAGAGCTTCCACATATACTAGTATAACTGTGAATGCCTAAACCTATAAGAGAGGATTAAAGAAAAATATCTACATCTAATCTGCAAATAGTTGAGTTTTAAAAATAACTCTCAACTGGGAATATGTAGAAAAGATAATAACACATACCAAATTACAACAATAACCCCTTACATCTAGGACTAGGGAATCTATGTTTAAAAGCAATCTTTTAATCCCGAGTTTTTTGATCCACTAGTCCTATTTAATTTAATATATAATCAACTATTTTCCATGCATTTCATTTCCTGTCTCCTGAAGTACAAAATACAACAAATTACAAGTATGAAATACAAAAAAAAAAAAATTGCTTAATCTTTTCACACTTTCTGTCAGAGACAAGAAAAATTTGACACTTTTGTAGATCTAACCAGTCGGAAAAGAAGACCCTGGACTATGTAAGAATCGATTATTCTGTTCGGTATGTAAGAGATTGTAACTATTCCCAGAGGTGTCATTTACGATTCACTTCACCAAACACTCCCTTACTCCACTGAAAAACTCTACTTATAGCATCGCCTTGCAAAATAAATCAGAAGTCACTTAAAACATTTTCTCTGAACTAGAATAAAATATCTTTGAGAACATGCTGATAAAAAGATCTTACTATTTTGTGGTATTCTGGTTTTCTGGGTGCAGGGCGAGACATAGTGCTTGATAGATGAAGAGTGGGATCTTCGGTTTCTTTCCTTTGGCTTTGTTTTGTGTTTGCAAGTCCCCCCTTGCTTTGAGACACAAGTGCTACCTGCGTACTCCACTGCTTTTGCTTCCTGCTGCACTGAAGAGGACAGTCGTAAACAGGACTCTGCTGTAGCTGGTACTTTCCCAGCCATCAAGTAAGTACGGCTCCACTTGGGAGGGTGAGTTGTAATCTAGAGGCATGAAAGCTGAGAGTAGGAAGTCAGACCAGAAGCACCATCTACTGAAAATTCTTTAGCCCAAGGGAGTATGAGAGTGGTGTTTTGCTCTCATGCCAAGGCATTGTTTTAAAATCACAAACAGAAACCCTCACAATCCAAGATAGATCTAAATGTTAGCATTATTCAGTCTTTGTATTGATTGTTGTGTGAACTCAAGACAGGATCAGCAATCTGTAGGCACTAAATCCTGGGTTCAGACCTAATCAACTCTAATGGGTATCACATTAGCCCCCAAAGAATGGGTATCATAGATCCCATCTGGTGTGATTAGAAAATTTAAATATATCTGGTAACTTTTTACCCAGAACTAGCAATTTGAAGGAGTGATAGAATTTGGGGTGCTGATATTTTCTTATAAAACTGTTGCTCGAAATGGCTGCTCTACACTTTAATAATGTATGATGATCCTGGCAGAGAAAGCAAGCCCTTAGCTTTCTTTCAATAGTCCCTGAGATGTTGGCGATTGAAAGCTCTTTATTTACGCACAAGTATAGTTAAAGTTAAAACACGAATCCCTCTCATCTTGGCAACTGCAGGGTGTGGAGGATCAAAACGTTTCCAGAAATAAAAGCATACAACTCAATTTAAGAAAGTAGTCTCTTACTTCATACAGCTTGAGTCAATTAGCCCTATGTGTTCTGGAAAATTCTTGCTATAAAGTGACAGACTACTGACGACTTTGAAGACAAGCATGGCATAGTTGAAAGAGCCTCGGAAGGTTTGGGAGGCTCAGGCTAAGCTGCAGTTCTACCATTTATTAGCTCTTTGACTTGGGCAAGACATTTTATTGCTTTCCGGCTCAGTTTCCACATCTGCGAATGGCAGTAATAATGCCCACCTCACAGAATAATTGTGAGTATCAAAGAGATAATGTACACTATAAAGCACATTACAATGCACTTTATAAGCAATAATTACTAAAGATTATTCTTGAAGTTGAATATCTTGAATGGGATTCTACAATATTTAAGGTATTTCCATTAATGCCTTTGTTCTATGACCCCATTCTCAGGAAAATCAGTTTTGCTGGGTCGTAGGGTGTGGGGGGCTTTTCAGGAGCAGTTCAATAGCATCTTTATTTATGTAAACTTTACAGTTTACAACATGGTTTTAATTTTCTTTATCTCATTTTCATTCAACTACAGTCTGAGAAGTAGTCAGCATGGTAATTAATACCATGTTATAGGATAGGCATCTAAGTCAGAGAGGTTAGGAATTTTTTTCAATGTTAGCTCAGTAGTAGGCAACAAAGAGTGATTTAGGCTAAATTTGCTGATTCCAAATATAAAACCCTTTTTTTCCCCTGAACACACTGTAACTACATTACAAAAATATTTTAGGGGTAGATTCACAAAAGCTACTAAGATAGGGTGACAGCATGTTGATGGGCCCAGTATGGGGCAATTCTGGCTTCTGCATGAGAGATCCCTGAAAAAAGCATAGGAAAGTTTTGTGCACTTGGTGAGAGTGGAGAGATCATAGACGGGAATCGACTTCACAAAACTCTAAAGGTGTGGTCTGGTGACATCAGGGCCACCATGAGAATGGACATCGTGATGACGCACTGCTCTTCCTGCAGCAGGACCGCAGGGTTTCAGGCAGGTCCCTGCCAGACTATTGTACAAAAGCACAGCCTGCACAAGCTCAGCGGCAGGCGTGGCCTCCAGGACAGTGGTTTGCTGGTTTTCAGGCTGTGCAATGCAGTTGCTGTAATAAGTGCAAATGGCACCAGGTGTCGGACCAGTGGGGGTGGAGTCAGACCAAACCTGGGTTCAGCAACTTTGGTACTTGGGTTTCATATAAAAAGAAGTAGCCTGGGGCACACAAGGCTCACTTGGATCTTCATTGAAATAGAAGAACGCAGGGAGGTTGTTTCAAACATGTACATGATCTATACAGACTGTCCTGGCAGCAAACTAGAAACAAGTCATTTCAAAATAATGCATACGTTTTTCCTCTTTTATTCAGAGTTCTTTCAGTGTCCTAGGCCTGAATTTGGACTGAGGTTGAAAATAAGATGCATTATTCAGGCTCATAGCTGCACTGCAGTGTCAATCAACCCAAGTAAATGGTGAGCTGGGCCATTCCCCTATACTGGTCATTTGGGGAGGTACCTGGGCATCTACTAACCTGTCAGCCATATAATCACCATCTGAGATCATCCCCAACTCTCAGACAAGGCGAAGCTGTTGTAGGCGGCGGGAATGGCACCAGGTATTAGACCGGTGAAGTTAGACCAAACCTGGGTTCAGCAACCTCCGTACTTGGGTTCTGGCTAGGAAAGAATTCAGAGTCCAGACCCAAATTGCAAGAGAGCATTTACTATGTAAATGACAGAGGTAGAAGTAATTCCAGGAAGAAATGGGCTTAAGAAACAAGTTCTAGACTGTAAAGGAAGGGCTCTCGGAGCTTGAGAGTGAGGAGGCTAAGGGGCCTCCAGGGAGGGGGAAAGGGAAGGAAAGGCATGGGTGAGCTCCCGGGAGGGAGAGCACACTGATGCTCTGTCCTTAGGGCTTTAAGGATGGAGATTTTAGGGGAGCTCCCAGGGGGAGAGCTCAATAGAATATTCAGCAGTTTTCCAGGTGTGTCCTTTCTGGGTTGTATTCTCCACTGATTGATTGGCTGGCCACAGGACAGGGGGACCTTATTCAATGCAGCTGGTCCTGACATCAGCCTTGGCTGGTTTTATTGCTTATCTGGGCCTGGAGCTGAAGTACAACTAGGATCTAGAGCAGTGGTTCTCAACCTTCCTAATGCCGAGACCCTTTAATACAGTTCCTCATGTTGTGGTGACCCCCAACCATAAAATTATTTTCATTGCTACTTCATAACTATAATTTTGCTACTGTTATGAATCGTAATGTAAATATCTGATATGCAGGATGTATTTTCATTGTTACAAATTGAACATGATTAAAGCATAGTGATTAATCACAAAGACCATATGTAATTATATATGCTTTCCGATGGTCTTAGGTGACCCCTGTGAAAGGGTCGTTCGACTCCCAAAGGGTTCTCAACCCACAGGTTGAGAACCGCTGATCTAGATGTTATCTCTAGGGAGGAAAGGTCAGGAGGTCCAATCACCCTGGAGTTAGGTCCTACAATTGTCCTGTGCAGCTGGGGCTTTTCCACCCTGACGACCCTCTGTACCTGGCCCATGGTCCTTGCTCTGCTCATGTCTGTCTAACTGCCTACAACACAGCTACCATACATCTTTCCAGGAGCTATGGTTTTTTTAGGCTTTATGTGTGGCCTAGTTTTAGATATATTGCTGGTAAGTAGCATGCATATTTTTAAATCACTCTACAGGTAAGTTTATTCCAGCTCTGGTGTGGTGGTTAACAGCATTATCCAGACCACCTGGGTCCTATCCTGTTTCTTCTGTTCATCTCTGTGTGACCCTGTACAATTTCCTTCATCTCTCTATACCTCAGTTTTCTCATAGGTAAGAAAGCTGAGGATAATACTAGAACTTCATCATAGGGTGATTGTGGAGGGTAACTAAGATAAAGTTCTTAGAATAGTGCCTGCCATAGAGTGAGCATCAGTAATTAATTGTTAGCTACTTAATTTTCTCGTGTGAACATTGGTGTGTTTGGTCTCATTTCTACCATTATTTTGTTTTCTTTTTACCATCCTTTTCCCTTTATTATCTCTTTTCCTAACAATATTCTCTTTTTATTTTCTCTGTCTTTTTTTAATGCCCTCTACACTGTATTTCTATTATTTAATAATTCTACTTAAAATTTTACTGCTGTATTGACATATAATTGATATGCAATTTGATGAGTTTTGACCTATGTATACAACCGTGAAGCCATCAGATGAATCAATAGGATTGACATTTCCATCACTCTGTTTTAACTGTGTTATCTTAGATTCTTTGACTATTTAGCATCCATTAATTACACGGCCACACTAATAGGCTAAGTAATTTACATCTCCTGTGCGATCCAGAGCCCATACTCTGAAGCACCTTCTTATCTGTCATACAACAAACCAATGTTTCCCCTACTCTGAATCAACCCAGGTCCTGGCACCAGACAAGGGTGACAGCCCTTATGCCCCAAAGCCCGCCAGAACTCTTTAAACTAGCCAGCCCCGGGCTGGCTTCTCTGCCCTAGCTTACCTTTTCCATGGAAACATCAGGAGAAGCTCTGGCCTAGCTTTCCGCTCCGCCTTTCTGCCTCCTGACCAAACTTGGTGTTCCCCATGTGGCTGTGGGTGGCTGGCATGCCCCTTTCTCTTGGCAAATGTAAATAATAAATTCTTTTTTCAGTGGTATTGGCCTCTCTGCGTCATTACGCAACCATCTCCATAAATTAAAATCCTGCTGGCACAAACTGATACAATGCCCCCAAACGTGCTCATGCCTCTCGGTAGTCTCTCTTCTCATTTCTCCTCCCCCATAACCAGGCAAGCGCTGGTCTACTTTCTGTTGGCATAGATTACCTGGTAAGTCACACTTTTTAGAATTTTATATAATCACACATTATGTATTCCTCCCCTTGAATTTTTTATTTAGGAAATGATTTTGAATTCATTCTTGTTATTGTGTTGTTTCCAGTTTGCAGCTATTATAAGGAAAACTGCTATGGAAGTTCTTGTACAAGTTTTCTTGTGAACATATGCTTTCATTCTCTTGAGCAAATACCTAGGAGATAAATGAATCTGTTATACCAGACCCCTTTGGGGGTCGAACGACCCTTTCACAGGGGTTGCCTAAGACCATTGGAAAACACATATATAATTACATATTGTTTTTGTGATTAATCACTATGCTTTAATTATGTTCAATTTGTAACAATGAAAATACATCCTGCATATCAGATATTTACATTACGATTCACAACAGTAGCAAAATTACAGTTATTAAGTAGCAATGAAAATAATTTTATGGTTGGGGGTCACCACAACATGAGGAACTGTATTAAAGGGTCTCGGCATTAGGAAGGTTGAGAACCACTGTGTTATACAGTGGATATATAGTTAACTTTTAAAGAAACTGCAATTTTCCAATTTTACATTCCTGCCATCAGTGTATGAGGGTTGCAGTTACTCTGCAATCCTCACCAACATTTGGTATGGTCAGTATTTTTTATTTTAGCCATTTTAGTAGTCATATATTATTATAACCATGTATTGCCTTAGTTGTATCTTTTAAAGAGTAGTTATTCCTACATCTTATAATTAAAGGAACATCTTAAGATATCATATTTGTACTCATCATTTTTTACTCCAGGTCTTTCCTCAGAGTTCATTTTCTCCTTGCTGAAAATGTATGTTAACAATCCTCTTACTGAGGTTCTGTGGGCAGCAAATCCTCTTAGTTTCATGTATTTTTATTTCGTTCTATCTTGAATGACTGTTTACCTGGTATTAAGTTACTCTGTGTTGTGTTCTGGTCTCTGTTGTTGTTGATTAGCGTCTCCAGCTAGTCTATTGTCAGTCTTTCATAGGTTATGTATCTCCTCTTTCTGCTAGCTTTTAAGGATATCTCTTTTTTTTTTACATTCTGCAGTTTTACTATGGCATGTCTATATGTGGATTTATCTTTACACTATTTATAACATCTAACACCATTCTGATGTGAGAACTTCCTTTGATTCTGCAAAATTCTCATTTATTTCTCTTCAAATAAACAGATCATGGAGTTGCTTAATTTGTCTTCTATTTTCTTTCATTGGTTTTAAAAAAATATGTTATTTCTTTGTCTTTTTGTATTGCACTTTGGATGAATTCCTCAGCATTATGTTTCAATTCACACATTATGTATTTAATCATGTCCAATTGAGAGTTTCTTTGAAAACAGAAACTTATATCTTACTCACTTTTTATAAGCCCAACCAAGCCTAGTTAGGTGCCTTTTATATAGAAGTTATAAAATAAATTTGATCATTTTATTTCTTTATAGATATGTAACTTTATTAATACCCAAATATTACATTTCCATAGAACAAAATATATTTTATAAACAAATTTACAACTTAATTTATAAAGCAACACATTATTATATTAGATTCTGTCAATCCAAATAGATTTTTATGCAAAGTTAGAATGCTTTTATTGTGATTCGGCTTTAGGGGTACCCAAACCTTGTTCTGCTCTTTTTGGGAAAGTTTTCAGAATTTTCTGGCAGAACTCTTGGGCTATGGACACACCAGAGCTGTGAATTTTTGGGTCACTTTAGTTTTTTATAATTTCCATCAATTTTCATGCCATATCCTGGACTAGTAGAAAGGTAAGAACGTTTGCTGTTTTGCTTCCAATGCTCTATTTGCTGGTGCTGAGCATTTTGGGTCACACAGAGCAGCCCATGGGATGATGGCAGCTGTTTGCTTTGCAAGCAAGCCATCCTCTCTTTAGTGAGAAGATACACTAAAGAAGTTACTCCTGTCTCTCATACCAGATGAACCCTCTTTCAATTTCTCCCAGCTGTAATCTGAAGGAAGTGCATTTATTAGGTTAGGACTCCCAAGGGGCACAAGGGAAGATGCTAGGGTCCTTTCAACATATAAGGATGTTGGTTGACTGACACAACCAGTTAAACTAGTAAGATCCCATAAAATGGTTACAGCTCGAGAAGTCTAATGATCAGAAAGGGCTCCGCGCTGCTTGGTGGAAGAGCTTCCCAACGATGGGCTCAACTCTCAACAATATCGCGTGTTCTCTGCAGAGAAGTGGAACATGGATCAATTCTTTAATTGCTGCTTTGACTCTTGGCGGGCAGCAACTGTTCACCTCTTCCACATTCAGATGTCCGTGCCAGGTTGGGAAAAATTTCTACTATGGTTCTGCTTTCCTAGTCATTCCTGCCTTGATCCTTCTGGTTGCTGGCTATGCTCTGAGAAACCAGATGTGGACAATTTCGAGTGACTACTGCTGCCGCTGTGCCCCTCCACACCGGAGAATCGGCCTCCTGGAGCGCAAGCTGGCTTGCCTCAGGTTCTTCAGCATCACCGGCAGGGCACTCATCGCTCCATTGACGTGGCTGGTGGCCACCCTGATGACAGGCACCTACTACGAATGTGCAGCAAGTGAATTTGTAACTGTGGACCATTACCCAGCGTTTGACAACATCAGTGCCGACGAACGGGAGGAGATTTTAGCTGGGTTTCCATGCAGCACATCAGCTCCTCCTGACATGATCCTGGTAAGAGATGAAGTAGCTCTTCTGCACAGATTCCAGTCACAAGTAAGTTCTTGATTTTTTTTCCCTGTTATCCTCTCCCATAGTAACTATCATGGGAAATGTTTCACATCCGGCTGCTGCTCATATTGTCTGTTCATAGAACACAAACTAGGTGTCAATCATCAAAGTGATTTCTATGAGCAGCTATATAAATACAGTTAGGATGTTTACAGTCTGCATCACATACCTGGGTTTAAGTCTTGCTTTGCTGTTTAGTAACCTGCAAAACCTTCAGCAAGTTAGGTAGCTTCTCCATGCTTCACTTTTCTCAGATGTAAAATGGGGATATTAATGGGATCAACTGCATAGAATCGGTGTGAGGAATAAATCAGCTAATATATCTAAAGTGCTCAGTACTACGTCCAGAAACTATATCTGTAAAAACAATGAATTTTAGATATTGTTATTAAAATTATTATCACCATATGAGCAATTTTTATCTTGCTACATATATATTCTTAAATACGAATTCTTATAAATTAGAATATCTAAAATTATAGGAAGCTTAAATATAATTAAAATTAAACAACAATGATGGTCTTAAATGAAGTGGCCTTGGCCAGGTTTGTGTGAGGAGTGGGAGGAGGGAGTGGGAGGAAGGCCTGGACCAGTTTCCCACACGTCTCCTAGGATCCTGCGAATCCAAACTTGTGCAGCTTCCCCAACTCTTTCTGCTCTTCTTTTTCTGTCTTCTCCCCCTAGTGGAACTCTCCTCAACTTCTTGCCTCTGTTGAACTCCTCTTTAATGATTTAAGTGTGAGCATCACCTCCTCTGAGAGGTATTCCCTGATACTCTTCTCCTTGAAACAAGTTCACTTCTCTTCCATTGTGCTCCCCCCGAAACCCTGTGTTTACACATATCAAAAAATTGACATATTTTACCATATTTCTTGGATTGTTCTTTTCTCTCTCTCTTTAGGCTTAAAGACTGCGGCTTTGGCAGTCTTTAAGACCGAATGTGTCTTAAATTATTCACAACCAAGCACCATGCACAGCACATGGTGGAGGTCAACCTGGGGCTCAGGCAATGATAGCTGATGAATTAATGGGCATCTGAGATGGCCTTTCCTCCACCACGCAGGCCTCTATTAAGTTTAATTGTGATGAGCACGTTGTGGGCTTTAGCCTCCACAGAGTGCAGCTGTCTTAGCGTACACACACTGTAATCCCAGGCCTGTTGGTGAATAACAAACTGTGGAAGAGACCTTCACCTTCCAGACTATAGCTGCCTACTGCTAGCTTCCCCAAATGTATGAAACTTGTGTCTCTCACTTTATGTAACAACTGCTGAATATTAAAAAGAAGAAGAATTAAAAGTGGGGGGGAGGGAAGGATTGTAAGAGTAGAAAACAGCCATGAACATCAATCTTTAATGGTGGAAACTAAATAGTTACAAATAAAATCTAGTTCATTTTCCTTTCAAAGTATATTTCAAAAACAAGTCATAAAACTAGCCAGCAAATGACTATCTGAAGGGAGAGGAAAATGGTAAGTTGTTATACATTTAGGGACATAAGAGTCTGCTCACTGGCTTTCTTCTTTGGTCATAAAAAAATAAAAGGAAAGAGCAACTCAGGAAGAAATATTAATGAATACTTGTTGGCACATCATTGAAGACGCCTTAGGAGGCTACCATTATTATCTATGATATCATTTTCATCACCATCATTATCAAATATTTATTAAGCCCCCAGAGACTGCATGGGCCTGTACCTGATGGTTGAAAAGTAAGGTTGCGCTAAAAGCAAAGAACATACTGTATGTACCTTTATGCAAGGTAGTTGGTGGGTTATAGCATCTGCTACTTCAAGGACAACACTTAGAATTCATTCAAAACCCTTTGTAATCCAAAAACCAAGTTGAACTGGTTGGGCCTGAAACCCCATCATACCCATGTCCATATCAAATGATCATCACCTTGTTAGTACGTGAAAAACTAGAAAAACAAATACCTTGTCCACAGTTTGGTCCTGTTTTGTGGGGAATCCCTCTTACTATGGCTATTTCTTGAATATTCGAAGCATTGATGCTTTCTGTTTTCCTTTTAAATAATTACATGAAGATGCTGGGCTGGATTTTGATCACCTTGGCAACCATCATTACCCTCGTTTCCTGCTGTTTGATGAGGTGCTGCTCTCCCCTCACCTCCCTGCAGCACTGCTACTGGACCAACCACCTCCGCAATGAGAAGGAGCTCTTTGAGCAAGCTGCAGAGCAGCACTCACGCCTCCTCATCACGCAGCGCCTAAGGAAACTATTTGGCTTCGTTCCTGGAAATGAAGATGTCAAACACATCCGCATTCCTTCGTGTCAGGACTGGAAAGACATTTCAGTACCCAGTCTTCTCTGTATGGGTGATGACTTGCAAGGTCACTATAGCTTCCTTGGAGGCCAGGTGGATGAGGCTGAGGAAAGCACACCAGGAGGCATTGAATTAAAACCTTGATTATAGCACCTCTCCCAATTCAGGTTGCTTAGCACAAACTTTATTCTTAAGATGATGGAGTTTCAATGATGGTCTTATGCGTTCAACCGGAGGGCGAACGACATTAACACTTTATTTTTTACTCTTTCTTCTATGATGTGTTTACATAAGTCCATGCAAAACGCCATTTCCAAAATCAATTTGATAATTGTGCCAATGTCTCTTTTTGCCTATATCTGTCTTATTAAAACAAAATGGAATTTGGAGTTATATCACCATTTGAATCTTGGTTCTGTTATTTAATAGCTGTGCAAAAATTGCTATTTTTAGTGCTATTTCATTGTACAGAGTAGCTACCTCACAGAGCTGGGGTAAGGATTAAATATGGTAACATAAGCAAAAGGCATAGCACAGTGGCTTTCCTAAAATAAGTGCTAACAAATGTTACCTTCTCCCTCCTCTTTGCATTTCATGTCTTGTATCACTATTTTCCCTGTCTCTATTTTCTGATTTTCTTTCTTTCTTTTTTTCTTTCTATCTCTACATGCAGAAACATTTCACTACTTCTGCCTCGCCGCTTACATATCTGACCTCTTGGAAACCAGGATTAAAAGTCCGTTCGTGGTGACATGTAAGGGAGAAGCCCATTGAAGGAAGTCTTGAGTCATCCTGCCATAACCAGGGAAAGATGATGCATTATTGTATCATCATTAGTATCATAAGTACTATTTGTAGCACCTCTGTACTGGGAGCATTTTTACAGCTACGACATATAAGCTGTGCTTTTTCATTAATTGTAACTTTGCATTCAAAATCCATTTGAGGAAGCAAGACTGTGACCTATATTTGCATATTCTTTATCTACAACTCCAAAAGGGAGACCTACCTGACTTTCCTCCGTGTGACTTTGCATTTCTAATATTTGACAGTTTTCTAATTTATCTTGATTATTTCTGATATATCCGGTGTCTTGTGCCTGATTTTTGCCACATTTACATGGGCAACTGGGTCATTGGCCATAAGAAGCAAAATGAGGGCTTTTATTTATTTATTTTTAAACCAAAACAATGACTGCTTACTGGGCAATGGACCAAATGCCAATAGTCAAGCTGACGTTCAAGATTCAGAGAAGTCAAGCAATTTGCTAAAGGTCACACACTTAGCAGTGATGAAACAGGAATCCAGTAGCCTGACGTCTGACCATGCACTCCACTGCAGTGCAGCAACAGAGGGCGGATTATCAAACTTCCAGGGCCTTGTGGGTGTAGGTTTTCAACGAATAACTAAAACATCCTGAGTTCCAACAAGATGCCCTATCACATCTGAGTCCCTCTTTTCCCACTGCCACTGTACCTGCATGCACAGGGGCTCACCTGCAACTTTTCCCTGCTCCATGAGGCATCCCTGGATCTGAGCCACTCAACACCAGTAGCACTGATTCTGTTAGTCACAGACTACTCGCTGGACCGGAAAGCTCGGGTATGGTCTTTCTCATGCAGGGAGTGGCAGAACACTGTAATCCTCCGTTTGTTTTCAATAGGCCATAGTTTGAAGAGTCAAAGTGAATGTCAGGAAATCATACTCTCTCATTCATATGGTCTTATACAAGTCAATCTTTCTGGGACTTAATTATCCCCGACAAGAGACAGGGGCGGGTGATTAAATTGTGGGAGTGGGTGATTAAACTATTTTGAGTCATGGACCCCTTTGAAGAGCCATTCTGGGAAAAGCTATTTTGAGGAAATATCCAGAAAAAACTGTGCGTGCGCGCACACACACACACACACACACAGGCTCATATACCTCAGAGTTTGAATACTGTGGTAGTCTGACTAATGGCTCCCCCAAAGGTGTGCATGTTCCAATCCCTGGAACTTGGGAATGTTACTTTATAATTTATATGGCAAAAGAGACAATGCAGAGGTGAAGTTAAGGATCTTGAGGTGGGGATATTATCCTGGTGGGACCGATATAATCACGAGTCCTGATAGGAGGGCCACAGGAGGACTCAGTGTCAGAGAAGGCGAAGCAGCAACAGAAGAGGAGTGTGGAGGACCGTGAGCGTGATGCCTGGGACATTACCCATTGCTGGCTGTGACGATGGAGGGGGTCATGAGCCAAATCAAGGAAACGGATTCTCCCCTGTACCCCCAAAGGAACACAGCCCTGTGACAGCTTGACTTTGGCTCACTGAGACTGGGTCTGACCTGTGTCAGAACAGGAAGAAATATCTACTGTTCTTACAGGACTCTGAGATAATAAATCTGCCTTGTGTTAAGCCACTACATTTGTGGTAATTTGTTAGCATGGCAATAGGAGATGAATACACATACCAACACATTTCAGGAGTTTATGGACACACAAGCCTGTCATGAATGACCCCCTGTGGATGAAGACCTCTTCAAGGTAATTTCTAGGATAAGGATTCTATGATTCTATATGCACTGATGCTCCGCCCTAGGCAAAACCATTGCTCCTGTAAATTAAATAAATATATCTATAATATTATAAAACACACTGCATTCTAATATTTTAAGTTGGTTTAAAGAGCAACCCAGGCATGTGCCCTTGACAGGAATCGAACCTGGGACCCTTCAGTCCAGCACTCTATGGACTGACCAAACCGGCTAAGGCTACTATAAAATATTTTATAATGTGGACACATTCCATTGGAAATGTGAGAAAACAAATGCCAAAAGGGGGGGGGGTAGTAATCTGGATCAGTGAGGTGCTTTGTTGTATATACACTTCATAAATCAAGAGTAATCGGCTTTTTGTTGATTTTCACTTCGAGATAATTCGAATTTGAGAAAGCTGCCTACAAAATAAGCATCTTTACCCCAGTAATAATTTAATAGATCCCATGAGATCTATATTTTGTTCCAAGTATTTCCTGGCAGACCTGGAACAGGAAAATTTTGTAGGCAATCAGGTAGTGCCTGCCGCCAGCCAGGGCGTTCTGCGTTCTGCCTCCTTCTCATCATTTTCTGGGACCCGCCCCCGTGCGCCAGTTTCTTCCTTGCCCAGTGCTCTCCGACCCCCTTCCCCGAGCTTGGCGAGGCCGGGGGATTCCGACCAGGGGTGCCGACACCGGCTACAGCACCAAACCCGCCGGGGTGGCGGCAGGTCCTGTGCTCGGGGCGCCGCAACGCTGCCACCCACCCGGGCTGCGCGCCTCGCCTCCGACCAGGCAGGCCTCTGGGGTGGCGCGTCTGCGTCTTCCAGGCTCACAGCAGCGCTTCACCTCGCTGTCCTCCGGTCCCGGACGGCCGGAGATGCCGTGCTCTCCCAGGTGGGTCAAGCGCAGTCACTGCACCAGGACGAGACGGCTCGTCTGGCTCCGCCCGCAGGCGCCGGCCCGCAACCGGAACGCGGTCTCACCGCCCCCACTCGCACAGCTCGGGTCTAAGTCACCGTCGTTGCCTTTTGCTTAGATTGTTACCATAGCCTCCTAACTGGTCCCCGTATATTTACACTTGGCAGCTAAAGTCAGATTGTCCCTCTTCCGGCGAAACCCTCCAATGACCCTACGTGACCTGTAATTCCGCCCCCCCGCCCCCCATCCCCACCCAGGTCCCTGTGCACCAGCCACACAGGCTTCCGAAATACCAAGTGGGCTCCCGGGTCAGGAGCTCTGCCTGCTCCCTCTGCCCAGCTCTTTAGCCGGCGACAAACCCTTCATTTGTCGGAACCGAGGTATCCAGGAGAGTAAGCTCCGTGCATGTGCAAAGTTACTCCGTGTATTGATTCTCATCATCTTCAGAAGAGATCCCGCTTCCCCGCCCCCCCAAGTTTAAAAGAATGCCCCCTCACCCTTAACACTTAAGTACCAAGGGGTACCTGAATGTCTGTGTCCATGCCTTCCTCCGCGACAAGGAAGCAATACTCCCTCACACAAGATCCATGCCTTCCCGTCCACGGGGCACGTTCATTTCAGGGTGAAAGCAGATTCGAGCGCCTCATCACTAGGGACCTTATTACAAACGGTTTCCCCACTACACCAGCGGAACCTGCTTTCACACAGAAAACAAAGCCAAGGAAACATCAAAGAGTGGGGAAAGTCTCCTAGTGTTGGAGTATTTTATTGTAATTCCCACTTTTTTTTTTTTTACTTAACCATGTTCCTTTATTATAAACATAGTTATTTAATATTCTTCTCAGAAAAGCAACATGCTTAGCCAGTTGCTTAGCTTTTGCCATTACGGTCCTTTGAAAACCTCCTTTGGAGCTGATGCGATGAACTGACAGGTGACATGTATACGTTTGAAGCATATTCCTCGGCTTTATGTTCTCATGTTGAAGGTTCTGCACAATTTTCAGAGTTCTGACACTTTCACGTGGCTTTTCAAAACTGCTCCTGAAACCGACACCCTCCTGATCAATTCACAGAAATCCGCAATCACAGACATCTTTAAGTCCGGGTACAGCCGCGTGCATTTCACACACTTAGAAGTGGAGCCTCGGGATCTGAACGCAGAAGCCAGATCTCCGGACTTGCCGTCCATCTCTCTCCCGATTCACTCGGAGTCGCCGCCGTTCAGGGGTCGGACCCGCGGGACCCACCGGCGGAGCTTCCGCTTCCCTCCCTCTGCCCGCTGACTTCAGCATGGCTTCCCGCCCAGCTCCCGCGGGACGCCACGGGCCTTCGGGGTGGAAGCGCAGAAACCGCCTGCACCCCATCATCAGCCCGCACTCACAGTGCGCGCCGGTCTCCCCACAGGCCATCCGATCGCAAACCGAAAAGCCGGAAACGCCGGAGGTCGCGCACTCCCTCCCCGAGCCTCCACCGGCGACTCCCTCCCGCTCGGGAACCAGAGGCCGCCCTTCAGCCCTGACTCATCGAGCGCGGATGCCGCGCGGAGGGGCTCCTCGGACTCAGGGCCCGCGAAGCCCCGGAGCCGGCCTAGGTGTCTGTGGCGAACGCCAGACCGGGAGCCCTCACCAGCCCGGCCAATCCCGAGCGGGCGTGGCACAGGCGGCTGCTCAGCGCCCCGCCGGCCAGGCCCAACGAGTCGAACGCGGAACTCGGGAGCAGGCGGAGGCCGGCGCGGGGCTGGGGCTCAGCTGGCCCGCCTGGCTCTGGGCGGCGGGCCTCCCAGCCGGGGACTCTGCGCCTGCGCCCGCCCGGCCGCTGCCCGCTCTCCCGGCGCCGCCGTGGTCCCGGCTGCGGCGCGCCGCCTGGGTGTCTGGGCGATCCATGGGCAGCGGCGAGGGCCACGATGACAGACTACGGCGAGGAGCAGCGCAACGAGCTGGAGGCTCTGGAGTCCATCTACCCCGACTCCTTCACAGGTGACTTCCGCGGCCGCGTGCCCGCAGCCGTCCCGGGCTGGGGTGGGATGGGCCGGAGCCGCCGCCGCCGCCGCCCTCGGCCTCCCGGGCCACGATGGTGGCCGGACAGCGAGGCCGCGCGGCCACCTCTCCCGCCCCTCTCTCCTCCAGTTCTTCCCGCGAAGTGTCCAGGCCACTTGGGAGCAACTCCGCGGCTGTTGCTCCGCCGGTTCCCTGGGACCTAAAAGTCCCGGCGAGGCTGGCTGGGTCCCGGGAGACTGTCAGGCCTCGAATTCGGTCCCGGACGCTTAGGTGCCGGTGTAACTTACGGGAACCGGAGGGTGAACGACATTAACACGAAACATACTCCACGTGGGAAACATGCTCCGCGTCCAGCGCCGCAAAGGCGCCCGTCTTCACATCCTCACCTGCGTTCGGGGAGAAGCCGTTTTCCTGCGAATAAAGTGTATGGGAATCAGAGTAGTGTTTATCTAGCATCAGTGTGCGAGCAGCATTGTTCTGGAAGTGTGTCCTTTTCCTTAAAAAAAAAAAAAAAAATGC